AGTGAAACAGGTTTTCAGCAATGCCTCATCTTTCTGAATGCTGTTAGTATTTACTTAGAACAATCTATTGCCTGTGAATGATACAGAAGTGGTAATGTTAACAGTAAGTGTCTGAATATTATTTCACTTACAGGTAGCAATAGGTATCAAACTTCGTTTAATCTTGATAGTCATTACTGAGAATATCAGTGTCATGGTAGATGGTCTTTTAAACTTGTCTCTGGTCTTTTAAACTTGTACTTCATTTGATGCTGGAATTGGTATTAATGAAGGTATCCAAAACCTGCTCTCTTGGATCTTAGAGTAACAACTAGATCCACATTCCACATTCGATAGGCAGTGGAAACCTGTCTGAGGATGTTTTTCTTTGAGAGGTCTTTGAATATAGACAGGCAGACTATATCTTTTACTCTTTAGCTGTACTGAAGAACAGACTGTTATTTTCCATTTGCATCCTCTCTGAGGTGCTGCTACTAGAGTTATCTAAAACTTTAGAAGGAAAAAGTGCTATAAAACTGCTTGTTATATATGTTAATATTCACATTTCCAGTTTTTTCAGAACTTTCATTAAACTCTCTCATTTCATTTCTTCTTTTCACATGGTGCGAATTTACCTTTTTGATAATATTTTGCTGGGTTGAGGGAGTAATAGGAAAGTGTGAGGGTGGATAGAGAAAAAAATTAATTCCATGCACATTTTATCATTCAAAAATATAAAACTAAAATTTAGGATTTAGAATTTGATTGCTATATATAGATATTCCCAGATTATAATCTGAAAATGTATCAAAAGAAGGAATGGCTGGTAAATTTGCTTTTCAGAAACTGGAGAAGGTAGAAAGATCTCTAAATTTGAACTCCACTTTATAATAGAGATCCTTAACTCTTATGACAGTCATATTTGTAGGCAAGTGATACTGTAACTAATTCTCAAGTTTCTTCTTAGACACAGAACATTTTAAAAATCAGCAGTTAATGCAATATTCTGAATACACTGCATATACATACTTTTAAGTATGGTTCTAAATGTGTTTTGATTTGCTTTGTTTTTTTGGCAGATGGTGGAGCAAGCAACTTCGGATTGAATTTCTTGACTTTTATCATTCTCTTCAATAATCTTATTCCAATCAGTTTGTTGGTTACGCTTGAAGTTGTTAAATTTATCCAGGCATATTTCATAAATTGGGTAAATATTATTTTTACAATATACATTGACTTGTAAAATCAAGTGGTTTACAAGTAAGTGGAATGACTGATTACTTGTCTGGGTATATATTTTTTCTGTTTTGGTTTTTTTTTTCTAAATGTAAATACTTAAGTATGCTCTTTATTTATTATTACTGGAATCTGAGAAGGTGACAATAAATGGTTTTATTTAGAGCTTATATACCTGTACCAGATTGCTTTTTGGAACGAGTTTTTATGTGAATTATACTTTTTCATTATTAATATTCAGGTATCAGTTTCATCCAGAATGATCAGAAGAAAGTGTTTTGCAGTCCAGCGGAGTTTTGTCCAGTTTCATTTTTTCTTTCTAAGCCTAGTCCATTTGTTGGTTTTTTCGGTATTTTGCTGAATTTTCCCACAACCACCATATTTTAATTGGCATTTTCTTGTAAATAGCCAGTGTCTATTAGTATTATCTCTTACAAAATATATGAAGATCATTTTTGGCATCCTTTAATTTTTTTTCTTAATTAATTAATGGTGGAAAAGAAGGGTTTACTGTGTTTGGGGTGGGGGTGAGGTATTCTTCTTAAAGCCCATGTAAATGCTTTTAATAGCATGCCTTAAATTTTTCCATCTTTTCCAAATGTGAATAAATCATACTGTTTTGAACTCTTTAATCTGATTCCTTGATCAGCTGTGTGAAATGGATTTGTGTGTGTGAGATACAATGACATGCAGATATAGATAAAAGTGTATGCAGAGTAGCAGGTGAAGTGAATGCTTAATTCTAAAAGTTAAATCTTTTTGTGAGCAGTCAGCTGTTTTTGATTTCTCAATTTATTTTATGCTATAGAATAAATTTTTGACAAATAAGAGAATGCAAAGAAATTCTTCCTTTATGTTCTGCATTCTAAAATAAATATTCAACAAGACTTATCCATTTTGAATGTATAGATTGGCAACTGTTTATACAACAAATCTGAAAGATAGTTTTAACTTCTGTTCCCCCCATTTCACATCAAGAGGGATTAGTTGTCTTTCATTTATCTTAATCTGGGACTATGGACATTTAACTTAAACATTATCTTTGTGTGTGTGCATGTCATATTAGTACAAAGAAGTTGGTCGTCTGCAATCTGTTGCACTACATTGCCATATTTCACAATGTTTTAATGTTTTACTGTATTTAAAAATGAACTTCAGGTTTTTTGGCAGGTTTGGTTTTTTTTAACAAGTAGGGGGAAAAAAAGAAAACCAAACCAAACAAACAAAAAAACCTTATAATGTACCCTACATTTCTTGTGTACTCTTAAATTTAACTTCATGTTTTTATGTCAAGGTGTATTTATCTTGCTATTTCAAAATAACTGGTTGTGCATACAATAGATAAGACTGACTTCTCTCTAAGTGTTACAATGAAGTATTTCTGCTTGTTGCTAAATCTATTTTAGATGTATGGGTACAACAGTTTTTTAATAATACATATCACTGGAAATAATTGGAGTAAAATCTCAAAGAATCTTCTAGATTTTTGTTTTAAAGAGGAAATGTAATTTCTTCCGGGGACTCTTGGAAGTGATCTGATTGTATCTGTGGCTTCCCATGATGCAATAATCATAAGTAGGTAATATGTATTCATGTTTGGTCAGCTTTTCTACACTTACTTTTTGTATTTAGTTACTACATTTTTTGTATGAGCTAATGAAAGACTAATTTTAAAATATGTATACTTTTTTTTTTATCTGTAGGACATTGACATGCGCTATGAACCTACAGACACTGCTGCCATGGCTCGTACTTCCAATCTCAATGAAGAACTTGGACAGGTAGAAAAAAATTACTGGTTCTAACTCTGTGTATTGAAATTATTCTCGTGGTTTTACAATCTAAATTCTTAAAATAATGTGAGGATTTATTTCAAAAAAACTTGTATTCTTGCCTTAGTTTTACTTATTTATATTCTCTTTATTTTGTCAGATATTTTTAAAAACACTTTGCAATATGTGGAAGTTAAATTTTTGAAACCAGTATTGAGTGATCAATCAATCCTTTATGTATCAATGTGCATGTTGTAATCACAGAAGGTTGAAGTGTATCATTAAATATGCAAAATCAGAGGAATTCTGAGCATTAAGGCTGTATGTGGCACAAAGAAGTATGTGCAGATAGCAGAAAATATCCTTCTCTTCCTGTCCTTAAAGGGGAGTACAGGCTCTTCTAGTGGGGAAGAGACTGTTGAATCTTAGCTTGCTTTCTGTCTCATTTTACACAATCTATCTGTTTTTTCTCTCTCTGCGGTTAGTTTGTTATTCACATTCCCAGACACGTTCCCTCTTTTTTGACTTCAACAGTTCTTGTCTTCATGTCTTAAGTTTCTCATCAAAGTCTCCTTCACCACCAAGATCTAGTCAGACTTCTAGGGATCTCCACTTTTACTTTTTTGACAGGTTCGTAATTTGAGCAGATTTTTGTAGGGAGCCAAAGGACTCTCTGCTCACAAAAAGAGCACATCTCTTCTCTGAAATAAATGAGGGCTACACATAATGAAGAGAAGATTTCCTCTGAAATGATCATCAAGTTTTAAGAAAGGCAAAACTTTGGTCTTGGAAAAAAGGCTGAGTTTTCTTAGCTCTAATTCCTGCTTTCCCATTCTGCTCATGGCAGCGGGGGGGGGGCAGGGGGGAATCAGTTTGAGGCATAAATCTGGCATGGAAGATTTCCTCTAACTGCTGATTTGCCAAAGTTATAATCCTTCAGGAACAGAATCTTTAAATAGGAGATGCTGAGTAAATTTTGCTTATTCATAGCCTTATTAGCTCCATGTATAATACAGTTAATTCCTAAGAATACTGTGATTTTTTTAATGAGAAATAAATTATAATTAATCAAAGTTGAAATTTACCTTTGACTAATAGAGCCTTTGTTTCATCACAGACCACTTTATTTCTTTATATATAAACTTTTTCCTAAAATCAGGTTTGAACTACATTTAAATATATCACAGATACACGTATTTCAGCTTAAATTTTTAAAATATTTTAACTAGCAGTTTCCAGAGAGGAAGAGCTTATAATATTAGAGAAATAGGAGACCTGGAGTAGGTAGACAGGCATGTATTTCTTCTGTTCCTGCAACTTGGTATTTTTGAACTGTTGGGCTTTTACTCATGTTTTGGCTTTAAGAAGATGTCAGAAAGAGGAATCTAGAAAAGCATATGGATGCTTTTTTCTACCATATTGCTTTCTGTCAGAAATGGAATATTTTACTAGCAAAACCATTGATCTTCACTAGTTTCTTGCATGTCAACAGTACGTAGAGTGAGGGATAGTTAAGTATACTACAATGTGCAGAAGCAAGCTTAGGCTTCTTGACATCCCTATTGATTGATGTATTTGGAAATGGGTATCAAGACTGCATCTGCCATGTTTATATACTGTATTTTCTTTTCTATAAACTATGAAGATTGCAGAACTGGTAAAAATATTTAGTGTATTGATAGTCATTAATTGTACTTGATATGTAAATAACTGCTGGATGTTAATATATAATGAATTTTGTAATTTATTTAGGTCAAATACATATTTTCTGACAAAACGGGTACCCTAACATGCAATGTCATGCAATTTAAGAAGTGTACTGTAGCAGGAGTTGCTTATGGGTAGGTATTTTTACATAGTTTTCTTTATCTGTATGCCTTTCTTTTCCTTTGCCTGTCCATATGTACACATCCATTAATACTGCTGTTAAAATAAACTTATGTCTGGCAATATCTACAACTAGCAATCAGTTTATGCGTGACTATAAAATGTTACTTATAAGAATTATCATCATTTCAGTCATGACATCCCCTTTTGCAAAGAGAAACAAAAATAAAGTTTAGATACTAGGGGATTACTGCAGTAACACAAACTCAGTATGTGTGGTTTTGCTACTGTTCAGTCTCCTTAATGTTGTTACTAAAAAAAAGTCTTCCCTCATACTTACAGGTACTTGTATTGGTGTCCATGCTTCATATTTTATGTAGGCACATGCTCTTGCACTGAATAACATGCAAGATGAGCAAGAATTTGAATTACAGTACATGAACTACAGTGCTGTAGCCACCATCTAAGTGACTTTTATGAATACTGTTATACTGGAATAACTCCAAATATCAATTTCTGTTAAGAAATCTCTCCAAATAAATACAGCCAAAGCATTTTACTATTTCTTTGTCAGCAGTTGCAGCCAACTCCTTCAACAGAGTTTATAAAAGCCTCAAACTTTGAGAACTGTTTACTTGAAAAAACATAATTAGAGCAATGAATAGAGCAGAAGCACCTACACTGTAAATGCTGGTGTGGTTTACTGGTATGTGAGATGCTGGACCTGGGCATATGTTGGAGCATATACTAGCAGATAATTAGACATCTCTAGAACTGGGTAGAGAGCAGGCAGAAATTGTGAAATTAAGTGTTGGGCTTGTGCTAAAGTTGATGTTTTATCATTTGAATCCCTTTGAAAATCCTAATTTTCAGGAGTCTAATCTAGGCTTTCTGTTTTAAAAAAAATTAGATCCTTAGTGCATTAACCATACTGATGCTTGGTTTTTTTCTAATTAACATTTGTAATAAAATACAGTTCTAACCCTGGTATTTGAAATATGTATGTATGTGTATATATTTGGCTTAATTTCAACCACACAAGCTAGTTTTATGACTTCAGAGAAACTGCTCTGAGCTAACTATTTTCAAATTCTTTGTATAGCGTTTTTTTAAGATAAAAATACATTCATGATAATGGCACTTAAAATCAGTGTTTGATGTACAGTTCATTATGTATATTAATCTGAAGTTGGTATAGCACAAATTCTAGAATTTCTCCTTTATGAAACCTAGATGTGAATGTATTTAAAAAAATAAAAAAATCTGAGTTTTCTTCCTATACTTTCCAGTTCCCATCCACCCCATTTTTGAAAAGACATAGACCAGTTTTCTGATTAGCATTGCTGTTTAGAAAGCAGAGTTTCTATTTACAGTGAATAGCCATTACAGCATCTCTCATAGAAAGAGTCACTCTATCTTTCTGTATTGATGCAAACAAGAAGTTGGGAACGCATAAAAGGGTAAAAGTGTTCCATCTCCCACTCCTCTTCTTTCTAAGTATGTTATAAATCATGATATATTTAAACCTGTGTCATCACAGGGCAGAGTCCTTCAATTGCTATGGCTATCTTTGTTTATCAGCATTTTGTGAACTCAGCCAGAGAAGCTACCCTACTTCAGATAATTTAAAAACTACCTTTTGTTTAATGAGTTTATGAAGCCTCAAGAGAAACATCATATTTTTGCAATATTTTATTGTTATCTAGGCTATAGCAAAATACTCTGTATTAAAAAAACCTTTTAAAAGTAATTTAATTCCATTAACTAACTTCTTTTTTATACATGATCAAATTTTTTAGCCCTTGTGATTCTTTTTACTCTTCCCTGTTTCTATTCTCCTCTTACTTTTTGTGCAGCCATTGCCCTGAGCCTGAGGATTATAGTGTTACTTCAGATGACTGGTAAGCTCTAAAAATCATTTAGTATGTCATATTTGTTGAAGAGTCAACCTTAAAACCAGTGAGTGAGATTTTTAGAAACAGAGATAAATGTGAGATATTTTATTCAAAAGTTATTTTAGCTTCAAATTGATGCAGATCACCGATCTTACACGAATTTATGCCATCAGAATTCTATGGCATTAGGTTTGGACTCTCAAATAGAATTGCTAATAGAGTCACTGAGATATAATGCAATTATTCTACTGACAGTCCTGTACAACTCAGGGTTGCTTATTGGAGATAAAGTTTTGTCATTTATTACGATAGTTGGTATTATGGTAACTTCAATCACACTTTTCTACTGTTACTTAGTAATTAGTAATAATCTCTAAAGTCATTTATAGTCTTTAAAATATCACTATTGTATTTGTTGAAAGTCAAGCAAGATATATCACACAATACTGTCGTGTTTTCATCTTATGTTTAAAAAGTTTGAAGGAAGAAACTTGCTTTGCTAAATTAGAATTAATAATTCTTTCTTATATTAAAAACAAACCTTGAAAAATCCCCCCCACATATTCATAAAAAGTGGCACACATGCACACCCCAAAATCTTATCTGACCTAAGTATCTTAATTTAATGTAGCAGCAAGATATTTCTTGAAGATGTACAAGCGTGCCTAACTGCACACAAGTGAGTGGTTTCATTAAAATAATGCAATGCTTATATGAAATTAAGCATGCTTGCTTATAAGATATTTATGAATAAGGCTGGTTTTGACTAATATACATCAAAATCTTTATAAACACAAATAAATAAACTGATGCCTGAACAGTAGTTAAAAAAAAACAAACAGTACTTCCCTTTTATAAATGATGAACATTGTGTAAGTGTTTATGAAATAAGGTACTTGAGAAATTTTTTTACGTGTAAATCTATTGTAATGAATACAATCTGTTAATGCCAGTAACATTTCTAGTCCTAAAATGACTAATGTACTAAATTCCAAATCTTTTAAATCTTTATTTTTTTGTATTAGAAAGAATTGTTATTAAAAGTTATTAACATTTGGCACTTCAAGATCTATTTGCTTTGCATTAAAAAAAAAAAAAAGTCTTGGTGAATAAGGATGCTTCAAATTTCTCACTTTAGTAACAGGTTTTTAGAAAAAGTGGTCCTTGAGTGGCTATATAGAGGAGATCCTGACATTTTTTTATTCCTCCATGGTAGTGCAGAACTAAAACAGCTCAGTTTTGGTTTTCACAAAGAATCTTTAGACTGCCTTTGATGTATATGGCTTATCCTTCAGTTTCAATCACCGAATGCATTCACTCTCTTGTAAGATTATGTAATCCAGGGCAAAATCCATAGTAAATGAAAAAAGAACACTTTCCTCCAACTGAGTTCACTTTTCAGCACTGTTGTGTTTCACTGAGGTTGAAATTCAACTAAATTGTCTTAATACTCAACAGTCAGCTGCAGTAACAAGTCTTCTGAGAAGTATATATGTTTTTGAGCTCTCAGCTTCAGCCAGATGATTTGTGCAATTTGAGAGATGTTAGTGTATGATTTCATTTCTCCAGAACCATTTCCACCTTGCAGGCCTTCAGGCACTACTTCACCATTGTTGCTGTGTTTTCTTTATCTGTCAGTTTACTAGGTTCCTTTTTGGCTGTGACTTAATAGAAAACAAATCCTCTCTATGCAAACTTCCTTGATGTCTGAACTCAGCTTGCTTACCTCTTTCAGATACCCAACTTCCTTTTCTAAAAATATTTGCAAACCTATTCCAAACCTACTAATTTCTCAATGAAATGTGATCTCTTTGGGCATATCTTTTTCTGAATCCCTTCTATAGTCTCATTCTAGAGATCAGAAGACAAGAAGCCACAGTCTTACATTGTAGATTTACTTCATCCTGCATTACCTGAAGTCAGCAGAGAAACTTTCCTGGATTTAAGTGTATTCATATAAATCAAAGTTTCTTAAAAGTAGATAAACTTTGGAGATGTGAAACAAGTACCTTTTCACTTTTTCTCACAGTATGTGACTGCAGCCTTTATTGTAACAGCTACAAACCAAAATTTCTGTTTAACCTTAGCAGAGTAGTGTGGATGGTTTGTATATGAATTGTTAAGAATATGCTAATGATGATATCTTTTCTACTTAATTATTTTTAGGCAAGGCTCAAATGGAGAAGAAAAAACATTTAGTGACTCATCGTTACTGGAGAATCTTCAAAGCAATCATGTAAGTTACATAGAAACAATTACCACTGTTTCGTGAAATCAAACCATTGCTTTCAGTAAGTCAAAAGATTATGTCCTTTAAAGGAAAATAAGTAAATTATGTATTTATACAAAATCAGCATGCCCTCATGAATACTTTTATAGTCGTTTGTTGTTGATACATGTTAATTAGATCCATCCCTTTTTTTTTTCTTTTTCTTTTTTTTTTTGATGGTATGATTCAGATTATATGAGTCTGAAATATAATTGTCTTACGTCATTCATTCTTTGGGTGTTTTAACATTAGTTATGCTGTTCATATGATGTCATGACATCCATCAAAGCATTCAGGATCAGCCAAGTTAACTTACTGTCCTGACATAACTTAGTATTTCTGTGCCCAGGCTTAGACAAGAGTCAGGAGTTAACCGTACATTGGTTATACATTGGTGTTTTGTACATACTTCCATGATGTTAGACCATCAGTTCAGATTAAACCGACATTCTAGAGGCTGGTATTTGCCCCAGAGAGACAATACATTTCACGGAAAATTAGTAGCCTACTTTATGATTTGATTAAGGAAAAGTACCATCATTACCATTTTCCTTTTGTCATTTGTACAAGACATGTTTTTGCCTAGTCATAGAATCATAGAATGGTTTGGGTT